CAAACCGATGGGGATGCGGCTCGGGGGACGCAGCTCCTCTGGCACCAAGGAGACCGTGTGCATGCCAGCCCGGGGCTGCGGACGCGTGGGCACCCTCCTGTGCCCACCCCATCCCTCCTGCCCCACGCTGGGTCCCCCCTGCCCTGCACGGAGGTGCCAGAAGTGCCGTGATGGGTTTAGCTCTGGCAGAGGCCGCTGGCTTTCCATGCCAGCTCTGAAATCGTTAGCAGTCTTTTACTGACACTTCACAAACGAGAGCGAGGGGGCTGCGATCGCTGCCTGCGCCGTGGGGCGAGCGCTGGCTGCTGGCTCCTGCTGGGATGAGCCGCCACTGGCCCCGCGGTTACTCTTCCCTTCCCCTCCTCTGCTGAGCAGCACCAGGGTGCAGGGGGGAACACTGGGCTGGGGACAGTGGGGAGGACAAGGCGGTGGTGTGGGCTGGGGGTCCCGGCCCCGCGGGGAGATGGGGGCAGAGGCAGAGTGGGGCTGCAGGGGGTCAGAGCACTGTGGGGTCCAGGCTCAGTTTGCCGTGTGTTTCGGTAGCATCCGGACACAAGTGGGGCACCCAGCTCCTGCAGTCAGGATTCGGCATGGATCGAGAGCCCGGGGATGCAGCTGGGGAAGTAAGTCCCTGTGACTCCAGCCATGGCCGTGGTCCAGCCTCTTCTCATGCCTGCCAGCATGGAGCAGCTTCCTCGCGGCACACCGGCCCTGAGCCCCCTCACCGGGTGCGGACAGAGCCCCGAGGGACCAGGGAGCCGCCCTGTGCCCCCTCACGCTCACATTACCTGCTGCCACCCTCTGCTCCTCACTGGGAGCCAGGCCAGCCGCTCCACAAAGCAACCACGCTGGCACCAGCCCAGGGTGGGGGCTCGGGACTGTCACCGCTTGCAGGCTGTCCCCACTGCCCTGTCCCCGTGGGTGTCTCTCAGTGGGGCCGGGAGCCAGCACTCAGCTCCACGCGCTCAGCCCCGGCGCGGTTCACGGCCACCACCGGTGAAGCACACATCCTGCGCGGCGTTCCCGCCGTACCGGCAGCGATTCTGATGGCTGTGTCTCCTGTGCCTTGCAGAGTGTCCTGGGACACGAGCACAACAAGGACTCCCGGCTGCTCTGGATGGGCTCAACCGATTGCCTCATCTCTGTCGGGTTCAGCCAGGTACGGTCCTCACCGGGAGGGCAGCTCTGGCCCTACCGGGATGTCCCAGCCCCGCTCCCTGCAGCGACTCTGCCAGGGCCCCGGGTGCTTTTTTGGGTGGTGTATCCCCCATGGAAGCAGGAGGCCCCCTCACTGGGTGGCCGGGCCCCTGCTGGGGACCGAGGGAGGCTGGCTGGCGAGGGCGGTGGTGCCCCACCAACGCCGTGTCTGTGCCCTGCAGATGCGGGAGCGGGAGGTGAAGCCGCGGGACACGCGGCAGTTCAGCAAGGCGATGCTCAC